CTCGAAGCCAGTCACAAACACCCTGCCCTCGATCTCCCGGTGGGTGCTCTGCACACTGGTGTCCAGCAGATAAATCTCCACAAGCTCACCTTTATCTGTCAGGGATGCAGCCAGGAGGAAAGGCAACCAGCACTGCAGTCAGCCCAGGCCATCTGGCCTGCTCTCAAAATGCAACTCCAGGCCCACAGCACCATGGGGCAGGGGGCTATCCCCATCCCTCAAGATCAGGAGAGGGGATGGGGTCAGTGACCTTTCCCCAAACCCCTATGGTAACCCCCTCACACCACAGTGCTTACTGGGAGGGCTGTAGGTGCTTGAGTTGGGCTGTAGTGGTACGATCCTGCCCAGGTTCCAGGGAATGCTCTGGGCAAAGACATAGGCATCCTCCTCAATGTACTTCACATGTGGCAGCTTCAACACCTGCGGGGAGGAGATACAGTGCCCAGCGTGGTGGTAAAGCTCCTGTTCACCCTGAGGTGGGAACTGCTTCCCCTCACCAGTGCCTACCCCTGCTGCTGCCCTGCGCCACGACCTCCATCCCACATACCATGTCCAGGACGTCGCTGCTCATCCTCACCAGGAAGGCAGGCAGCAGGTGGAAGACGTGCAGCAGCTCGGTCAGGTGTCCCCGCCGAGCCGCCCGGGCTCGCAGACGTCGCGCTGTGCCCCGCACCTCGGCCCCACTGCTGCCATCCTGCAACACCACCACGTAGCGCCCGGGCAGCCTCCACGACGCCTGTGGGAGCACAAGCACCGGGCTGGGGCTTGGGACACACACACACACACACACACACACACACACACACACACACACCACACACCAGACGCGTGCGCTGCCCCCCCATCCCATCTCCTCACCTTGCGGCGCGATGGAAAGCTGCGGGTCCCGGTGGGCGGCCCCGAGCTGGCTTATTCCCCCTCTGCCGCCCCCAGCGTCACCCCAGCTCCCTCCGCCAGCGCCAGCAACCAGGGCCAGCACCCAGTCCCCGTGGGGAGCATAACCGCACGCGCCCCGCTGGGCAGACCGGGCGGCGCCGCGACCCTCAGAGCCGCCGGGACGGCGGGCCGGCGGGAGATGCTGCGCGACCGGCCGATGGGCCGGAACGCACCCGCGGGGCCAAGGGGCCGGAGCGGGGCTGAGGGGCTGAAACGCGGGCCGAGAGGTCGCGGAGCGCACCGCGGGAGTCGAGACGCCGGGGCGCACCGGCGGAGCCGAGTGCCGGAGCGCACCGCAGCGTCCTGGAGCGCACGGCGGCCGCAGCTTGCCCGTCCGCGGAGAGGGCTCAGCTCGGCGGGGCGGCGATTCACGCCACGGCCGGCGCCCCAGCGGCCCATCCGGGCGCCGTTAAACCACTAACGGGGCCGCGGGAGGGGGCGCGGGACTCTGGGTCACGGCGCGGGGGCGCGGGGAGAGAGGTGGGGGGGACGCTGCTCACCCCGAGTCCCGGCGCATCGCTGGGGGCTCTGGCGAGCAAAGCGCAGCCGCTCAAGGACTGATTTCAGAAAGGGCTGAACGCTTTAATGTGCCTCCTACTGCTTCACTCCAGGGATAAATTCCCATGAAAGCCTCTAATCCTGTTTGGGCATTTTTTTACAGAGTCGTCACACATCTTAAATATCCTTTTTGCGGGATGCGGTTCCGTGCTTTCCCGTGGCTCTCCCGGCTGCTTCCCACCTCTGCCCTCCTGCAGCGCCAGGTTCCCACACTGCCCCATATCCCCGATGACCTTCGGCAAGCCCTGTCCCTGCTCTCAGCTTTTCAGGAAAATAGGGATATATTTCTTTTTTATTGGTTATTTTTAAGCTTCTCGGAGCTTATATGTTTATATGAATGTACACGTTTTATATGGATGTGTATGTTTCATATGGATGTGTATGGTTTGTATGGACATGTATGTTTTATATGGATGTATATAGTTTATATGGATGAGTATGTTTTCTATGGATGTGTACAGTTTATGATTTCTTAATGAGACCTCAAGTGGGTGCCTTCACCCTGGCTTGGGTAACTGGGGGAGACCAGACCCCACTTGTCACCCACTTTCCTCCACAGCAAGCTGACACTGGAAGATTCAGTATCCAGGACACTGGTCGTGGGGATAAGTCTCACTCCTGATTTTTGGCTCAGCTTCATCAGTGCCACTAAGTCCCACAATACACCACTGGTGCCTTAGGACACTTTCAGGGCAACTGAGAACTGGGGCACCCCATCTCGAGGGAGACAGTCTCCCTTTCCCTGCAGTTGCTCCCTTCCGTTTTGCCAGGGGACAAGCTGTGTCCCAGGGAAGGATGGAAGGACCCCAAATAGTAGGAGGTGGCAAAGGCCCTCCAGCCCCACACACACACACCTGGACATGCTGAGGAACCCAGAGAGAGCTCAGCATGAACATCCAGCACCAGAACTGGGCTGAGAGTGTGAGAGACGCCCAGCTCTGGAGCTCTCTCCAGGAGTAGATATCTACAGAAAGATAATTTATTTAATTGAAAAAAGTATTCAGAAATAGCCCAAAACTTGCACCTTGTAGAGAAGAGATCTGATTCAGTCCTGGCACCCTGGGGCGCTTCCTCCTGCTGCTGAGAGCAGCGGGATCACCGGCTGTGTCCGTGTACAGAGGGGGGCTCCTGTTGAGGGGGGAGGAAGGAGAGAGCAGAGGAGGCATCAGAGAGGACTCCAGCAAGGGGGAAGGACCTGTAAATCCTTGTTGCACTCTATTCCCGGGGAGCCGCAGGGCTCAGAGCGGTGCTGGCAGGGGGCTGGGCGATGCTGGGCCGGACTCTTTCCCATCCCGTAGCATAAAAAAAACCACGGCACTCTCCGGGATGCTTCTACGCAATTTACAGGAGTTTGGTGGTTCACTGATATGGTGCCACAAATCGAAGAAGGCCCACTTTGGTTATTGCACCAGCCGGGAATCGAACCCGGGTCGCAAGAATGGGAATCTTGCATGATACCACTACACCACTGGTGCGCTGATGTCACTGTTTCCCGCGGGCCCACAAGTGCACGGGCACCACCCACCCCACGTGGCTGCTCCTTCCTCTCCTCCATCGGCTCCCTGCCGCGGAGTCCCTGCGGGTGGGTGACACTCGTGGGCGGCGAGCGGGTGGTAATTCCTCCCCCCACCCCCAAAAGCCGGGCCGCTCGCTTAATGCCATGCAGGAATGTCCCGATTCCCACAATGTTTAACCTCGGCCGGCGCAGGAGCCGAGTCCTTCGGCTCAAGGATGCTGCGCCAGGGATGGGGGGACTCTTCCAGCTGCGCAAAGGGTCCCCTGGGAGGGAGGGTCCAGACCCCGTGTCAGCCCCCTCCCCTGCCCCATCTGAAGAAATGCTTTTGGAAAGTAAATTTCTTTTGCCAAAAGCAGCAGTGAGTGCCAGGGCATGAGATAGGACACCTCTCCTCTGAGGAAAGGCTGAAAGGGCTGGGAATGTTCAGCCTGGAGAAGGCTCCGGGAACACCTTGGAGCCCTTTTCAGTAGAGGGGGTGCAGGAGAGCTGGACAGACACTTCTGACTAAGGGCATGTAGTGATAGGACAAATGGGAATGGCTTCAAACTGAAAGAGGGCAGGTTTAGATTAGATATTAGGGAGAAATTCTTTACTGTAAAGGTGGTGAGGCACTGACACAGGTTTCCCAGAGAAACTGTGGCTGCCCCATCCCTGGAAACATTCAAGGCCAGGTTGGATGGGGCTTGGAGCAACCTGGGACAGTGGAAGGTGTCCCTGCCCATGGCAGGGAGGTTGGACTAGATGGTCTTTAAAGGTCTCTCCCAATCCAAACTGTTCTATGCTTTTAGAGGCAAAAGCTTTCAGGTCTCTACCAGATTCCCACACTCCTTAGGAGCTAGTGACACAGAGTGACATCCTGCCCCAGGAACCCTCTGAAACTCAGTGAGACACGGCCTCGTTCAAACAGTGTCCCTGCAGCTACCACACACACCCCCCACCAGGAAGGACAGGCAGGAGTACGTGTAACCGATTTGTTATTGCTTCCTCCCAGACAGCTGCTCTCACTCCTGTGGCAATGTTTGGCCAACACTGGAGCCTCCATTCCCCACCCTCCTGTTGCCTGTAAATACCTCGAGTGCGTAGGTGCTCCGTGCCCTTCTCCCTTGCTGCTTTGGTGATGCCAAGGTGAGTGAGGGGTGCAGTAACACCAGGAGGGGTGTCACAGGGGCCTGAAGCCCCAGGTAGAGGCGCTTCTTGCACACCCTGGACTGTACCAGCACAGAACTCCCTGATCAGCAGGGGAGCACAGGGAGCATCCTTCCAGGGCTCTCATGCTTCATCCTCCTTACACGATGGAGGACAGCTTTCCCTGTATTTTTGGGTTTGGGTGATTGGAACTAGATGATTTTTGAGCTCTCTTCCAGCCCAAACCATTCTGTAATTCTACAAAATTTGCAGAAGAGCTGCTGTGTCAGCACACATGTGCTCCCACGCCTCCTGGGGCCATGCCATGCACAGGCAGCATCCAGCCCAGTTTTCCCAAAACAGGGTGAGGGACTCTCAGAATCCCCACACTGTTAGATCTGCTGGTGGTTAGATCCAAACCCACCTCCCTGGGGAGGCTCAGCGACACAGATCCCCATGGTCTCAAGCAAATAAAGGGCACGCAGAGGTCACGACTCCCACCAGTGCTGCCATCTCTTCATGGTACAAGCAGTCTGGGGGAGTTGCTGTGTTATCTCTGTCGTGGTGACAAACCAGGCTTAGATCCATCAACATGGTTTGAAACAAATACTTATTATTCAGAGAGAGTTCGGGGATGGTGGGTGCCAGTGTCCGAGCCCACCCACAGCCCTGTGGTTGTTGACACTGACCCAGTGCAGGTGCCCAAAGTCACCACCTCAGGTGCCATCACCAGGGTTTTGGCTGAGCTGAATCCTCCTCTTTCTGCTCCCAATGGCACTGGAAGCTTGTCCTCGTGCAGAAAATGAAGGACAGCACAGTCTGTCACCTCCATCACCCCTCTCCCAACCGAGAGACATGAAGGCTGCCTGCTGCAGGAGTCTCAGGATCTGATTTTAATTTCAGGGGAGCTTGGATAAGTGGGAGAATGACTTTGAGGACATCTCTGCCTCATCAAGCCCACCTGGTGTGAGCACATCTTTACCCACCTAAACTTGATCCTGTTCCAAGCAGCAAAACTAATGCTTTTCCTTCCCAAGCACAGTATTTCTCCCAGATCCTGCCCAGCCCAGCTTCTCTGTGCCCATCCAAAGGGCTCCAGCGAGGGAGGCCTTGTCCTATATGCCCTGGAATTCAGGAGGCGGCAGTCCCCCATTTGAGTTTTGGGGGAATGAAAGCCTCCAGAAAGGCTGGGTGTGTCCAAGGGGTGCAGAAGCCTGGGGGACCTTCTGTGCTGCCGGCGCTGCACTTTTGGGGGCATCGCCTTTCCTCCAGGCCGTGATGTTTGCATCCCCTCCGTGAGATAAGTCCATGCCAAGTGGTCATTTTATCTGGGAAATCAGTTTTCAGGCTCAAAAACGCAGTCACTGTCCTTGAGCAGAGCATCTGGCTCCTCTTGGAGCCCATAATAAAGGTCATCCTCCTCCCCAGTGCCTTTGTGGGGGGATCCGGAGTGCTGTCCCCGCACTGGGGAGCTGGTCAGGGTGCAGCCAGAGCGAGCAGTGGATGGCAGAGTCCGGCTCTGTGGCGTGGGGGTGCCGGGCATGGAGCCCTCCAGTGATGGTGTGTCCATCTCCTCCAGGAGGGATGCCAGCGGTGCATCCCCCGGCGCTGGACAAGGGGGGCTGTGGGGACAAGGAGGGCTGATGGGTGGTGTGGGAGTTACACCAAACACAGCTGGGGTTTCCTTTGGAGCTGGTGGCTGCTGGAGCATTGCTCAGCCAGCATCCCAGCATCACCAGTCCCCTTGCTGGGTGGCTGGAGCACCCTGGGAGCACACTATCCCAGCCACCTCATGCATGCCTTTATAAGGACATCTGCCTGCCAGATTCCTTCTACCCACGGGACAAAGTGGTGGCTGCCCTTGCCTTTACTGCATCCCAAGTGGAAAGCAGTGCACCCAATCCAGCTGCAGATGCATCCAAGTCCTACGCCCTGAGCCTGCATGGTTCACTCCATCACTTGCAAATCCCTTTGGGACCTCCCAAACCAGTTCTTGGATACATGGCATACAAACCAGATACATGGCATCTGGTTTGCTGGTCAAGTACTGGGCATCTCATTGCTACCAAAGTCTGACCAGAAACTTGGGGTTTATTCTGGTGAGGAATGTTATTTGTATTGATAAAATTAAAAGAAAATGCAAATTACAACCAAAGCCCATCCTGATTTCTTCCTGGGAAATAATTTGGTACAGAGACTCCCTGTGGGTTGAGACACCATCCAGGCTCCACAGAGGCTGGGGAGTCTGGGTACTCAGTGCTGTGTGAGCAGCAAAGATCCCTCTGCCTCCTTTCCCTCCCCTGGGAGGACCTGGTCTGATCCCTCCCATTTTCACCCTGCATCCCACCACTGCGACCCTGACCCCAAAAGCATCACATACCAGCTGCCTGCCACTGTTTCCAGATGAGGTGTCAGGTCTTGTGGGGGGTGTCCAGCACCCCCCAGCTCCCGGTGGACCTCTGCTTTGGCCTGCACTGCTGACTGGGACCAGCTGTGGGATCTGGGCTGTGCCGTGGGTGGGAGTGGAGTTGAGCCCACTGCCTGCTTCTGGATCTGCTCATAGGATGGCAGGCTCTTCTCATAGGTGCTGGTGGCCTCTTGGTCAGGGCAGGGAGCAACCAAGCTGTGGGCAAAGGAATAACAGGGTGCTGAGCAGGACCTGGACCCCATGGAGCTGGAAGATCCTCAGGCACTTGCACAGAGGGCTCCATCAGTTGAGGGAGTGGCTTTAGAGGCTACCAAGGCCACATCACTCCCCACACCAGCAGCAGAGCCAATGGGTCCTTGAAGGGGATACCCACAGCTGCACAGCCAGATGCTTGGCATCCCCCAGCATCACTCAGGCTCCAGCCTTGGGATGGCTCAGACATCCCTTGCCTGCCCCACCCTGGCTCCTGCTTGGCATTTTGTGCTGCAATCAGTGCAGTCTCAAACACTGCCTTCATCCCCAGGGCACACCCATAGCTCTGTGTGCAGATTTTGGGACCCACCCGATGTCCTTCTGTGGCAGCACCGTGGGTTTGTGGTCCAGGAACCGCTCAGCCTCAGGGTCCACAGGAATGAATGTTATCTGGGGGAAAAAGGAAGGAAGAGCCCAGGGGCTGTGCTGGGCACACTCGACCCTCCTTAGTGGTAAAAGGGCCGGAGTGCCCTTTCGACTGGGTTTAGGGTGTTTTCCCACCACATTTTGATGTCTTGATTGGAAGTGGGCTTTTTTGGGCAAAATCAGTAAGGAATGAATGAATCCAGCACAGCTCTTTTCCCCAGTGGAGTCACGCATGTCTCCAAGCCCAGAGGAGGTCCCAGGGCCCACAGGGGAGGTCAGTGGTCAGGGACAACACTGAGGGTGCCCTATCCTTGAGTCCCAAGCACAGCAACAAAGCCACATCTCCCTCCTCGCTGGGGTTGAGCTCGGCTTTGGGGGGTAACTGGGATCAGCTTCACCCCAATCCCAGGAAACACAGCCAGTTTCAGAGGTCCCAGCTGGTCCCAGGTCCTGAGGTCACCGTGCCACATTTTGGAGGGTAGCCAAGTTGTTGACAGGCAGTGCCCAGAGCAGTGCCACAGCCACCCTCTCCTTTGAAAAAACCCTTTTCTGCTAGACCCGTTTCCCAGGGCAGGGACACGTGGCTGCTCTCCGTGCTGGCAGTGCCCTTTGCCAAGGAGACTGGCAGGTGAGGGCTGGGCTGTGGGGGGCCAGGACCCTCCAACATCCTTGGCCTTGACAGTCTTTTCTTGGAAGTTCTGGGAGCCTGCCAAGCCTCAGGCCCAATGAAGGGGCTAGTTTGGGAAGGGTTTGCATGGGAGAGATAAACACAAGTTTATTTCCTTGGGATTATTCCCTGCTGCCTGTTTGGAAGCAAAGTACCAGGCTCTGGGGTTTGAAGGGTGCAGGAGTACAGGGACAAGGGGCTACATCCTGCAGGCATCAGCAGGCCATGAGCATCCCACACCAATAATCCCTCCTCCAGATCACTCCAGCTGGTATCTGCTGCTATCTCACCCCATGGATGGGGAAGTTGAGACACAGCCCAAGGCTGCACATCCACAGCAGCCGAAGCCCCCCAAACCCAGCTAAGCCCCCAAGCCCCCCAAAGCACTCAGCAGCAGGATGGATCCTACCTTTGGGTAGCACTGGCACATGCTCCAGGTGATGCCCACGGCTACGAGCATCACACCCAGGACGCAGAAGGTGATGTAGATGTGGGGCTTTTCCACACTCATGATGAAAATTCCCGTCATCACCAGGAAGAAACCCAAGATGATGAACCCGTAACGGAAGGTCTTCTCCTCCGCCATGGGCTCTGGGTGGGAGAGACAGGAAGGAGAGATGCCAGGGAGCCCGTTTACCTGCCACTGCTGCCCGCTGAGCACACCTGCAGGGTAAGGCAAGGAGTGGTTTCTCTTTCCGGAGGCTGCCAGGAGCTGAGGATCAGCTGCACGCTAACCTGGTCCTGCCCAGGGCTGAGCCAGCCAGTTTTTAGTGGGTTTGTAATGAATGCAAACACTGACCTGCCATTCACACTCCAGTGAAGCCGCCCGGCACGTGTCCACGTAACCTTCCCTGCGGGCACCCCATGCCTGGGGAAGGGACAGGGAGGGAGAGGGGGCCATGGCAGTGGAGACAGGAACCTGGAGAGTGGCTGATCCTGTTGGGATTTTCCCAGCCCTGGGCACTGAAGCTGGACTTGGCCATAAACTGGAGCTGGCAGAGGCCCAAATAAGGGGTATATCAGGGTGCAGCACGTTCTCAAAGACTGCAGAGCTGCAATAGGGAAGGAGGGAGTGCTCCACGGTCTTTCTGGAGTCCCATGGGTTTGTAACATCCCTTGTCTTTCTCCGGCTAAGTGCTAAGGCTGCTTCATTGGGCAGCAGGTGGGCTACAAAGGGGGGACTAAAGCCAGGGAAGGATGGAGTGGGGTTGATCCTCCCAGGGGCAGTGAGGACAGAATATCCCTGTGCCCTGTGTTCGCTTAAGTTGGAGCTGGAGTGTTAGAAGGTGTCCCCTTCCCAAAACATATCCAACAGCTAGACAGTGTTGGTGGCTTTAATTAGCCTTCGTTTTATTCCCTTACTTTCCAGCACATGTGGGAGCACATACAAATAATTATATTATAAGCAATATGTTGTACGTGGCTATGGCTCCAAACCCAGGGCAGCCCATTGTTTTGGTGGGATGGAGGAACCGGCAGTGGCCCCCACAGCCGCTGGCCTTTCCTCTGGGCAAGGCTGCAAACCCACCCATGGTGTGCAGGGAGGGGGCTGTGTGCTCAGGATGGCTCTTTATAGGATGCTGTCTGAAATGCCAAGTGCACTTGGATGCCCTGACCACACACATGAGCCACTGAGCATCTCTACACTACATGAAGTCAGGCGTGGGAAGTCAGTACATCGGGAAGCAAGGTGGAAGGGATGGAGGTAGGGCCAGAAGGGGCACTGCAAAGGCAGAGGAGCAAATGGGGCGGCACAGAGCTGGTTTTTCTCTGGCCAGATTCCTCGTTCTCTGCTGCAGTTTTTATTATTGAGTGGGCAGCCTGAAAGGAACTCCCAAGGGTGGGGCAGAGCAGGGAACACAAAGCATCTGCAACCAACAGTGGTTTTATTAAAAATATGAAGGCTTTCAAACATGCCAGTTACCCTCAACACTTTAAATGCATCACCCACAGGACCCACAATCCCAACAGCCCTGGACTGATAGCTCAGAAAGCCCATTTGATCCTTTCCCCTCCTCCCCCACCCTCCTCTCCTCCCCACAAAGGAAGGGGCTCAGTTTAAAGCTGAGGGACAGGGCAGCCACCCACAGAGTCATGGCCCTTGCTGCCCCCAGCTCAGACCCCTCGGACATTGATGTTTTCATAGCTGGGGGGAGGCGTTGCCTGCGGCTCCTCGGGGTGCAGGGTCTCCAGCCAGGACGGGCTGGGGCGGAACAAGGCGCTGTCGGAGGAGCTGCGCCGGCGGCCACCCTGCCAGCTCTCATCCTCCTCCAGGTAGTGGTACAGGGGTGGCGTGAGATCCTCCTTCCTCCTCGGGGGCTGGACATAGGCCAGGGCACCATGGGCAGGTCTGCAGGTCAGGGCTTCTTCGTAGGTGGGGATGGCACTGGCATCCCAGTTGCTGCGAGGAAAGAAGAAACCCAGCAGCACACACCATCATCCAGAGCATCCCAGCACCCAATAACTGGACCACCCCAGTACTTGCCAACTGGAGTATCCCTGTGCCCTGTCAACCAGAACCATCCCAGTGTCCCATCAACCAGAGCATCCCAGTGCCCATCAATTGCAGCATCCAAATACACCTTCAACCCCATCTAAGCATGATGGACACATATACTGGAGACAGCACATCAGCAGGTTTTGCATGCCCAGGATCAAGGGATGACCAAGGTGGGGAGCCATGCAGGAGGAAGGGCATTATCCATCAGACCTTGCGACAAGGTCCCATAGGCAGAAGAGCACCTCCATCACCTGCCTAATCCCAAATTCACTCCTTAGTCACAGAGGCTGCCAGTAGCCAAGGGAGCAGTTTGCCACAAACGTCTGGGCAAGGGGCAGCAATCCCGGTTCAATGCGGTCACACTAAACTCTTGTGCCTGCCGGAGCCCTCCATGCACCAGCCAAGCCTGGTGTCACTTCCAGCAGTGCTTTGCTGAGCAAACACAGCTTGTGTACAGGGAAAACCTTTGGACAACCTTTGCCCTGTGCAGGGTCCTGCTTGGCACCCTATGGAACTGTACAGCCCAGAGCCGGGGAGGCTGTGAAAGCAACTCATCGTTGCAGATGAAATCCAGCACAGTGCATTGGGGAGGTGGTGGGCATCGCAGAGCACAGCTGGTCCAAAGGAAAAGCTGCAATGTTCTACAGGGGTGCCTCCATCCTGAACTCTTGGCAGCTCCCTGTCCCAGACAGACCACCTTGGGCTTCTGTGCTCACAATTTTGCCAGCCTCAGTTTGCATGGGGATGTTGTCTTGGAAATGCAGAGAGAAGGATTTATCCCAGCACAGCATGCTTTGCTGGGGCTGGAGGAGCTGTCACAGCACCAACAGTGCCAGGGCACTGTGTCCCATCCAGCGTGGAAGTCGGAAGCTCAGGGAAAGGGACATTCCCCATGGGGGCACAGCAAAGCTCTCCACAGGAGGTGAAACTTCTCCCCAGAGTACCCAGACTGGATCACAATCTCACAGATACTCAGATGGGCACTGAAACCCCGGGAGAACCAGGAACGTGCCTCCCACTCCAACTGAAATTTTATGGTTTAATGTTCTTAAGAGTTTCTTTTAGTGCTGCTTTTCCCTGGAGACTGATTTATGCTGGAGCCAAGATCTTTGCTGTGACCCCATAAAACAGCACTGGGAAGGGCTGGCTGGCTCCATTTCCACTGTAGCCTCTGGGGAAAAAAAAAAATCTTTTGAGCAAGAAACTTTTAAATCAAGAAGTGATCTTCACACTGGAAGTCTGGGGCCCAAAAAGCAGCAGTGGTGTTCAGGGTGAGGAGCATTTCTACACCCCAAAATAGGCTTTGTAGAAGGACCCTCTAACAACACTCTTGACACCATTCCAAGGATTATTTTCCTTATTTTTTTTCTTTTAAGTCCCTTTTAACACAGATTTGGCTTCCCTTAAAGATGGCATAAACACCCTCATCTTTATACAGTATTGCAGACCTGAGAGACCAGGGCAGGATTCAACAGCTGGAGGTCTGGGTGACCTCCCCACCCCCAAATTCAAACCTTCTGCCAGAAAACCAATGTAGTCTTCTCCTTGGTGGCTCTGCTAAGGAGATGTTGCCTCCCTCTGTGATGGCCCTGCAGGGCAAGGAGAGCTGGATGCAGCCAAGCTGGCCACAGGTGCAGCCAGTGTAGGCAGACGGGGGCTGGCAGGGAGGGAGAGTGGATGCTCAGGTTGACACTAATGAGCAAGAGCATCTGCTCAGGAGCAGGAGGAGAGCACAGACCGGGGTCTGAGCAGTGGCTGGCAGTGCGGATGTGTTGTTGCTCCTGTAAGCTCACCAGCAAGCCAGTCTGGGAGCAGGCTCAGGCACACGGGACAGCCAAGACCACCCTCCACTTCTGCCCACCCAAGCACCGCACAGGGACGTGGCACCCACCTGCAGTTCCACTTCTCCGGGGGCTCCGCGGTGAAGTACTGCAGGTCCCTGGGGAAATGGTACTGGTAGCGGCGGGAGACCACCCTGGTGTTGGCTTTCACGGACCAGAGGAGGCCGAAGAGGAGGAGGATGCCACCGATACCGCAGCAGAAGAAGCTGACAGAGCGGAGCAGGGCGCTGGAGGAGGAGGAGCTGGGAACTGCCTCGGCTTCCCGGGGAGGCAGGAGGCGAGTCCCGCTGCCAGCCGATGAGCCGACCTCCCCGTCACTCCACCAGGCAAAGCACAGCGTTCCTGTCACCAGCAGCACGGCCCCGATGATGGTCAGGCCATAGCGGAAAGAGGCAGCTGCCATCCTTCAGAAGGAGATTTTAGGAGGGAAGAAGAGCGAGACAAGGCATGAGAGAGCCCACGTCCTGCAAGACAAGAAGGGGGCAAAGTTTGAGCAGGACAAGGTTGTGGAAGACCTGTCAGAGGAGAAAATGACTGAGCTAGGACCTCTACAGGGAGTGCAGCCTCTTTAGCTACTTACTACTGACCATCAGAAAGGGCATTTCCACCACCTCAGACGGGAAGCCCTTGGGCAGAGCAAAGCCAGTGCGGTTTGAACAAATAAACTTCCCAACAGCCTCATAAAAACATCCTCAATTTCAAGAAACAACACAGCAGTCCCACAGAGGCTGGGTGGGAACTCCAACCAGGGCAGCTCTGGAGGCTTTCATAGCTCTTGTCTTTGGGTTTTATTCCAGATTTCTTCCCAAGCTTGGCAGAATGCCAGCTGGGTTTCTGATCAAAGCACAGCTTATGGAAGAGGTTAGGGTCAGCTCCAGCGCACACCTTCTCAGGTCCATGTCAAGATCAATCCCACAGGTGTTATCACAACCTTCACCCTCCCTATCAAGTGTGGTTTCTCCCTGCTGGGTGGCCCTTCTCAGCTAAACGTCACATGCAGAGAGCAACCATGCTTCCCTGGTGCTGGAAAATTTGGGGAGGGAGACCTGGTTTCTGATCTCTGTGGGGCTCTCACTCCTCATTGCTTTTTCCAGCAACAGAGAGCATCTGCTCCCTGGGCTTGTGCATCCCCAGCTCCCAGCCAACCGACTGAGGCAGAGGCAGAGAGGTCCCACCAAATCCCCCCTGGCCCTGCCCAGCAAGAAGATTCAGGTTCAACTCCTATTTCTTGAAGGACAAAAAGCTTTGGACCATGTGGGAATTGAGCACCCAACCCCCCCAGGCAGATTCAGTCTTGAGTAACTCTATTTTGAGGGTTTCTCATGGTGGCAGTGCCAGTGGAGAGCCTGCACAGCCAGGATGGAATTGGGGCTCAAGCACAGAGGTGGATGGACAGATGGATGATCTACACTCGGCTGTCACCTCTGCACTCGTCGCTTTGCCTGTGTGTCAGTAACATGAAGATAATGTGGTGGCTTTGGTCTCCATTCCTCCAGGCAGGGCTCACCTCCAAGAGTGGGGACTTAAATTGTACTCTGAGGTCTGGAAGTGCTGAGCCAGAGCTAGGCAGGGAGCAAAAGTCCAGCATGGACTTGATGTGATCAAGGTCAGGTGGAATCATATTATTTGAAGCCATTATTTATCAGATGGGCCCACTAAATGGAAAGTCAAATTACTTTGTAGTGAAAGAAACACTATCTGATCTAATCTATGTTTAATGAAGGAGTTGGATGAGAAGTGGGATTTGGGAAGCCTGCAGGAAAGCAGTACACTCCAGCTCTTGTCCCAGGGTCATGAGCCCAAATTGTCACTCAGGCAGCTGCAGTCACCTACTGGGAACGAGGTCACGTTCCTGGGGTGGGAGAAGACAGAGCTTCCACCCATAACAGGGGGACATGTTAGGATGCTCCCTCCTGAATGGCAGGGGATTGGCTGAGCTGAGACAGAGCAGGAACTGTTGGAGATGGTATTAGATGCTATTAGGGATCAGCATCTCCACTCCATGACTAAACACAAGCAGGACACAACAGAAGAACTAGACTCATGTTGCCTTGCAGCAGGAGATGCTCAGGGGAGTGCAAGGACACTACTGACCCATGAATGCAGCTCCTTTGGAGAGCAATGCATTTTCATGGAAAAATTTCAGCTAATATTATTTAAGGAAAAAAAACATGACCCAAAAAACCCTACAGCAAAGCTTTCAATCCAACTGCTTGGAAATGTCAGGTCACTCCAAACTGAAAGCCTGGATTGAACCAGCACCAAGAATTGAAACGTTCAACTTCTGCAACTCTTCTCATTTTGGGGTCAGACTGGTGAGGTTTGGGAGATGCTTTGAGTTCCCTGGTGAGGTTTGGGATATGCTGTGATTCCCCTGCCTGGGTACAGGGAATTTTGCAGCCTGCGGCACTGTGCACATCTGGGAGCGCTGGCAGCAAGGGGGAGGCGGAGGGAAGGCGGAGAGCCTCTGGGAGGTGATGGATTGACAGCTCAAGAGAATAAACTCTTCTCTCTTGACAAAACCAGCACAGCTCGGGGAGCAGCGCTGAAAGCTCCTCCAAACTACCCACATGTGCTCCCGCAGCACGTGTGCGGGGGCAGCTCCTCCGAGCTGGGTGGCACTGCCATCACTGGGTGACATTGCAGCTGTGCCATCCCCTTGCCAAACCCCTTCTTGTGTTTCCACAGTTCACCTGAACCTCTCTAAAAGACTCACAATGTTTTCTCAGCACATCAGCCTCTGGAAGAAGAGTCTGAAGGAGCAAGGCCAGGGCAGGACCTGAGTCCCTGATCCTCCAGCCTCTTCTGGCTCCACTCCCGGAGCACTCAGCATCCCGCACAGCACCTCTCCTGGTGAGCATTCCCAGCACACTTTCACAGAGGGGCTGTCCCTCCAAGGAGGCAACTGTTGGCTCCCCAACACCGGTCTCCACCCGCCAAGCCACCCTGACATTTTGTTCTGCTGTCTCCTCCTTTGACCTGCTCTGAAATAGTTTTCCGGGGAATAGATTTGCACGTTGCATGTACACACAGATATGAATGTTGATAGTTTACATAGTTCCACTGAGATGCTGAGAATAGCAGCCCCCATATAAAGTTATGCAGATGGTGATTCATGAGGTCTACTAAGCATTACTCAGAAAAACGCTCTTTTCTAGCAACATAAGAAAAGAAAAGAGTTTTGAACCTCTCCCACTGCTATCAAGTAGAAATCCACCTCCAGACCCATCCCTCCATGGCACTTACAGACTGTCCTTCCACGCGGGGCTGGAGAGCTTTAGTCGCGGATGGAGCGCCGGCAAGAGATGCGCCAGAGAGTGAGCATGTCATTAGGGAGATCCCTTACTGCCTCTATCCAAATTTGCTTTTTTTTTTGTTATTGCTATTAGTGAGGGTTTGGTCTCCATCCAAAGCAAAGTAACAGTGACGCTTTGGAAGAGCATCCGAGACATCTGGTGCACTCAGCCTCCCGAAGCAGGTTCTGACAGAGGGAAGCACATGCCTCCCCCCCGCCCTGTGTCCCCTGCCAGGCTTTGGGGCGAAGCCTGAGCATCGTTCCCTCTAAGGTGGCCGATCCCGGCGGTACCCCCAGGGCTCTCTTCCCGCCGCGGCCGGTGCCCGCACCTCCTCTCCCCTGCGGCACAGCGCCCAGCCGGGGGTGCCGCGTCCCCCCGAGCCCCCCGCCCCGTGCCGTACTCACCGCCGCGCCAGCCCCCGCTCCGGCGAGCGGCCGGCTCCGCCGAGCGCGGCCCGGGGCGGGCGGGCCGGGGGGCGCGGGCGGCAGGGTGGCGGCTCGGGGCGGGCAGGACCGGCGTTCCCTCCCGGCACGGCACGGCCCGGAGGGGCGGGCAGTCCCGGCTCCCCTCAGCGCCGTCCCGCTCCCGTCCCGTCCTATCCCTTCCTATCCCGTCCCGTCCCGTCGGTGTGCGGGGCTCCCGAGAGCTCCGGGCTTCCCCTGTGGTTGGGACACGGTCCTGCCCTGTGGAAGACACTGCCCCACGGGTGGGACATCACTGTCCTATGGGTGGGACACCCACGCTGCAGAACAGGAGGATCTCTGCCCCAAGCTTGCTTTGTGACCGCTTTAGTTCTCCTCACCTCTCTGTCAAATGCCAGTATTGTCCCTTTCCCCCGTTCGTGAAATGGTTTGGGTTGGGCGGGACCTTTAAAGGCGATCTAGTTCAACGTCCCTGCAATGACCAGAGATTCTTTCAACTAAGTCAGGCTGCTCAGAGCCCTATTCCATCTGGCCTTGAATTTTTCAGGAATGGGGCATCCATCACCTTTTTGGGCAACCTGTGCCAGTGTGTCACCAACTTCACTGTAAAAAAATCTCTTCTTTATATCTAATCTGAATAAACCCTCTTTCGTTTAAAACCATTACCCTGCAGCACTCATGAGAACACCTGGATATTAAACAAGCTGAGGGTGCTCTGATCTGAGTTTCAGGATGGTTGGTATGATGGCATCTGGTTTCACACACAATTCCTCATCACAGAGCTGGAGGGAGATTTGATCAAGAGCTGCCACGCCATGCTGTGCAATGAATGTGCATCTCACAGATCCATCACGCTGCTCTTGGGCTGCAGCTGAGCACTGCTGACAGGCAAAGCCATTTCTATGGATACCCTTGGCTGCTTGCAGCTCCTCACCTCACTGGCTCAAAACCAGCTCAGGGTTTACCCACACAGGCTGCAGGGACTGATACAAAGCCCTGTTGTGGAATTCATATCAGCTTCATACATGCTTAGAAGCCATTCAGCCCAGCTGAGAAAATGTGGCTGTACAGCCCCATTTACCTGAAGACACTGTGGAGTTATACAAATGGTAAACTGAGGCACGAGGAGGGCTGGTTCACACAGGGCTGGCCCTGCAGCAGGTTGAGTCTCCATCACAGAGGAACATGGGGCAGGGATCCCCAAGGCCAGCACCCCAGTGTGGCCTCAGCCCCCGGGCTGGATGCAGCAAGGTTCTCAAGCCTCATGGTGCAATCCCTGACAATAAATCCTAGGTGTCCTCCAAATACCATGGTTTTTTGCTCCTTGACAGGATGGAGTTTGGCCTCAGGATCCCAAAAATCAATATCTGGCTTTTCTGTTGCAGACATGTCATTGCTGAGAGCTCACATCACCATCCACGAATGACGTGGGCACTGTGAATCACCAGTTCCCCTGCTGAAGGACAATGAGGCACCTTCTTCTGCTCATTACCTGCTCAGATATTATATTTAACTGAAATTTTATTGTCAAAAAGCTTCTGAAGCACTTCAAGGTGGTGTTTGTGCACAACTGTTCTATTCCCAGCACAGGGCTGCAGAGAAGAAGGTGGCTCTCTGCAAACACACTGGTCCTACAGCCCCACAGCCATCTGCAACCTTCTGCCTTCCCCAGAGATCTGGCTTACAGGCAGCCACAAACCCACGACAAATATTTCACCACAAGGTAGAGGTTGGAAGTGCTGAGTGGTGCCAGCATGTCTGTCTGCTTAGCAACACCTTGGCCAAACTGCATTTTCCCTCTCCGAGAACTTTCCTGCTGGTGGACAAGGTGCTGCAAAACATCACAGGGCACAGTCAAAGGGCTTCTCCAGAATAAAGGCAGAATATCTAAGTGCAAAATATGTAAAACATCCCATGCACAGTGAAACCAGTGGGGAAAACAGGGAGATATAAAAGACAGTTACAGCCTCTGCAAGAACAGGAACAAAGGAGGAACAGGGAAAGAGATTGTTCCAGTAATTGCCTCCCCCAGGTAAGGATGCTGAGCTTGAGCAACGCTGCTGGCACAAAGTGCTGCTTTTTGATTCATTGTTCACCTAATTTTGCTGCTGCAGCAAATCGCATGTAAAATAGTGTATTTCAATGTATAATCAGGATAAATAAGTCAGATTCTTCAATACCTCTGTGTGTGTGTGTGTGTGTGTGTGTGTATGTGTGTGTGTGTGTGTGCACATGCATGCACTGTCTGACCTGTCACTACAAGGTGGTTGATACCAAGAACACCGAGTCAAGAGTGAATTTGGATGCAACAAGTCCAAACAAGAGGAGCTCAGAGTCCCTGTCAGAGCCCTTCTACCTGGGACTTGGGCCAGGTTGAAGGTCTCCATCAGCGACCTGGTGCACAGGCTGCTCTCCTTGTGCCCAGCTGCCTCCAGCAAGCACCTCTCATCATGCCCCCTGTGACAGGGTCATTAAAGAGTCACTGATGAGGCTTTATGGGACATGCCTCTGCAGGCATAAGGTGCCCATGTTGTCCAGATCCATAGAGAAGCCATTCCCAGGGGCTAGCATATCTCATATTTCCCTTAGCACGGGCCATAGGGCACAGCAGAGGTGGGAGCAGCAGTCACACTGAATAGGGGCTGCAGCACATACAGCCATGAGGATGTGCAGATGGGAAGGAGTTCCTGCACCCAGCACACGTAAAGCAAGGGAGAAAACTCCTGCTGTTTATCTTTGCCTTAATTTGCATCCTCTTAAAATGCCTAATTAGTTGTGCTATTTGATATACTGGCTCAGGCACTCCTACCTAATCCAGTCAGCAAATCTAGGCTTTGAACATATTTGTCCTGCATCTTCACATGATGCAATGTTCAGTAATGTCCTTCGGCTTGTTTGGGGTTGAACCTGCAACTGGCTATAGATGTCTCTTTGGTAGTTCTGCTATATGGACAGAAGGAGGGTTTGAGACCGCTTTGTGCTCTCCAGCAGGAAAAGCTGAGAATTTGGATGTGAAAGGGGATCATGCCTCTGACCACAAAGTGGTGTGGGGTTTTTTGGCTGATTCACCTAGAAGTACTCCTTCTCTACACAGCTATGCTTTTGCCCTGAGACTTTATCGACTGCAGAAGCCCTTTTTGTATATAATATATCTTATGATTTAGTTCCAATGGTTTTTACTGGGTTTGAATTATAACAGAAGAACAACAGATGTATAAAGTGCCTTAATATCAGTTTCTGAAGTGTTTTTTGCACTAGCTATGTCCATCATCTAGCAAATCCCTGGACCCAAAACCTCTGGGTGTTTTAAAGCTTAAATGTTTGCTAACCTGACTGTAACAATATCCCAGCCAGCAGTCTGTAAATCTGCACTGTGATGAGGAACAGAACTGTGGTGGAAAGTCTTGGAAAGGGACTTGGAAAGTACCAGCAGCATCATCCACCAACGGCTTTATGGACCAGCAATGTCCTCAAATTCCTTCTGTTCTTCATCCAGAACTTGTGTTAGTACAGGAGCACGAGGGTAAGGCGCCACCTCCTGTTGGGGTTGTTATGTAGATAAATGGGTATGATAAAGCTTTGGGTCTCCTGTAAAGGGAATTTCTGTGTTGCAAATGGGGACAGAAAGAGCTTCCTATGAGCTTTCCAACAAAACCTGCAAAGGATTTGAAATTCACCTAACAAGGGGTTAGGGAAGGAAAGAGTTAAATCCTGATGCCTTGGCTCAATCTTTAGTCAGACAAAATTTTTCCTGAACTCATAGAGATTTTTGCCTAAGGGAAGCCCCATGTATGAACTTCTTTTTTAGAGAAGAGGCACCGGAGTTGTGCTAATCTGTATAACCCACCACCCAGCCTGTTTTACATGCTGCAGCTGCTGCAGCTCTGCTAGAGTGAGCTGCCATTTGGCTCGTGGTGAAGAAACATCCATTTCCAGCCCTGTAAGCTCCTCAGTCAAGCTTGATGTGAGTGAATCTATCACACCTGAGCAGAGAGACCTATGGAAGACCTGCAAACCTTGAAAAGCTTCTGCTGGAAGCATGACAGTCTGGGGAGACATACAAGATATGGCTGAGAGGAAGGAGTGCCATGAATGAGCATTTTAAGGTCGCTTAAAGAATCAACTGCAAAGGTATCAGCAAAAGCAGATTTATTATGAAAAAAGAAAGCACAACAAAGTTCATTGGCAAGGTACACTCTGCTACTTACTATATGGTTAAAGCACACCTAGAAAAAGCAAACAAATAATCCAGAGTCAGTCAACTCAAACCAAAATAAACGCAAAATTATCTATGTGGAAGCCGGACGGGGGGGCGAGGGAGAGACAAAAGGCTGGAAAAGGTAAGGATAAAAAGGAATACAGCCTAAAGGCCCAACAGCACTTAACTTAAAGTTAATAGCACTTAATAGCATTTAACTTAACAGCACTTAAACTTAACAGCACTTAAATTTAACAGCATTTAACTTAACCAATAATCAAAGTTTAACAACTTAGCAAAGAATTCATATAGAATTTACTCTACCACAACAGTAACTTACTTACAAATCTAAAGTACTTAAGAATCTAGGAGAGCAGCATTCCTAGTACATTTGAAACAGCATATGCACATTTGCACACATACAGACATGAAGAGTCTGTACAAGATACCTGCAAAAAATTCCCCTCAAATTCAGTGAAATGGATGCCATTCACTTTGGATGCTGTTCCATCTTCTCAGTGGGCAAAGGGTTGAGCCTCAAGAAGTGTAGGGTAACAGCTCAGGCTCTGTCATTGTCATTTGGTGATCCGTGTACAGCAAAGTTGGGAATTTGCTGGCTCTGGGAGGCCCCACTTAGAAGGAGATGCTGGTCACAGCTGCTGAAGTCTAGG